GGTCAGAAAATAAGGAGTCTTCTCAAATCACAACTCTTTTTTCCCTAGACCAGTGTTAGACGGGAAGCAGTATTTACTAACTTGAGGAGTTTAGGAAAAGGTGTTAAGGCTGACCAAAATGTGTCGCCTGACTCATGGGCTGGCCATCTCTTGGAACTGTGCACCCTTGAAGGAAGACTCGCAGTGGAAGATCCCATTTGCCAATGGAGAAACTGAGGTTGGGAGAGCACAGCTGCCTCTGAATGGAACGCTAAGGACCTCTGTGTAGTTGAGGGTAGCTGAGCTTCCCATGAGCATTTTCTTTGATGTATTTATTATCATTAACATGTAGTACTTGATCCATGGAAAGTTATAAACATCCACGCATTTATGAATTTTAAAGGCCAATAATTAAACAAATACCCATGCGCCCGCTACCTAATTTATGAGCCTGAATGTCACAATACCATTGCAGTTACCTTGCCCCCTCCCAATGCCATTGCCTGCCTCCCCTAAAGGTAACCACTATTCTGAATTAGCATTTTATTGCTTTTTACAAATTAAGTTTTTTTTTTTTGAGACAGAGTCTTGCTCTGTCACCCCGGCTAGAGTGCAGCGGCGTCATCATAGCTCACTGCAGCCTCAAACTCCTCGGCTAATGCCATCCTCCTGCCTCAGCCTCTGGAGTAGCTGGGCCGATGGGCACATGCCACGATGCCTGGCTACTTTTTCTGTTTTTCGTAGAGACGGGGTCTCACTCGTGCTCAGGCTGCTCTCTAACTCCTGACCTCCAGCGATCCTCCGGCCTCGGCCTCCCGTAGTGCTAGGATCAAAGGCGGGAGCCACCGCACCCGGACCCAAATAGTTATGTATCTTAATCACAGTTTTGCTTGTTTTTGAATAAATGTTTTAACATTTATTTATTTATTTTTACCTAAATGTCTAAGAAAACAATGCCTGTAAATGAAGCAGTTATAAAGGCTTTCTCCATTTAAATCCACTTGAGGTAGTTATGTCCGGGGTAAAGTCAGGCATTGGACTGAAACAGAGTTGGGCAGTGGAAAAGCTATGCCTGGTTGAGTAGTATATGTGTCTATGAACAGATGAAATAGACTGAGTCCAGAAGCTTACAGAGAAAGTGAGACCGATGATACTGTCATTCACATGCTCTGATGACACTTGGCTTGTGGCTGTACAGTAAGTATGGTAAGTATCAGTTATAAATACCTAGCTGGGGCACACACGTGGCATGTTTATCTCAGGGTTCCTGCTCTGTAATAGCACTGCCATTGTAATTATTGATGGTGTTGTGATGTTAATGGTAGCATTAGGTAATGATTAAGAGTGTGGACTCTGGAGCCAGAGTGCCTGGTTCTGAGTCGTGCTCCACGACCTAATAGCCATTTGACTTTGAGCCTTGGACTCTGTTAGTAAATGAAACAATAGTAGTACCTACCCCAGGAGAGTCACAGGTAGTCACTTTTAGCTGTTGTATTATTGTTGTTGCAGTTATCATCTGGTATACAATTGTAAGCATTAAATATATGTAGCATGAGGCGTTGCAGTGTAGTCAAAAGCATGCAGACCTTGGTGTTAGACTCCGTTGGTTTCATTGCTGGATGTACATACTTCTGCTTAGTCGTGGGAAAGTCACTTCCCTTGAAGCTTTAGTTTCTTCTATAAAATGGTATTTGCTGCACATGTTTATTAGGAAGATAAGAGTGTATAAGCGCCTACCTCGGAGGCTGATATATCGTAAATCGTCAACAAATGATCCTGTTATTGGTTTTAGGATTCATGGGTTTGCTTAACAACTCAGCAACTCACATGGGTTCTTAGTCATGAGAGATAACCCTGAGCTGCTGCTTGCTTTAAATAAGACTCAGAATTTTAATATGATCAAAGGCGATCAGACCAATCTGGAGCCAAACTAAGTTGATTAGCATTTGGAATAGTTATTATTAGTATATAAATGTGATCTAAGCCTTTGCAACTTTTTTATTTGGTAAGGTATTTTCCCTTAGTAAGAGAAAAATTTTTAATAGACTATGTTTTTAGAGCAGTTGTAGGTTCATAGCAAAATTAACAGAAAGTGTAGGGAGTTTCCCGTAAACCTGCCTCCGTGCATGCCTAGCCCCCCTTTATCAACGTCGCACATCAGAGTGGCTCAGATGTTACAGTTGATGAACGGACATCGACACATCGTCACCACGCAGAGCCCACACTTCTCATTAGGGTTCACTCTTGGTCGTGCATTCTTTGGGTTTGCACAAATGTACAGTGGCACGTATCCACCACTGTCGTATCATACAGAATGGGTTCACTGCCCTCAAAATCCTGTGCGTTCTGTTTATTTATCCCTCCCTCCCCCTTAACCCGTGGTAACTTGGGATTTTTTTCACTGTCTCCATAGTTTTGCCTTTTACATGTCAAAAGACAAAATTACAACAAATTTAGTTAAAGATCGAATTGGCTTTTATTCATGATTCACGAGTCAGGGCAGCCTCCATTCTACAAAATAGAATGCGAACTCCCGCTGGGCAGTGGGGGAACAGTGGGTTATGTGAGGTGGGAAGGAGGAAACAGAACAAAAGGAAAAAGTCTGATTGATTAACATCCGGTTACTTCATGTTACTTTTCTTGTAAGGGTTAAAGCAGAGGGGACTTCCTTACTTGGGTGGACTGGAATCTCCTGTTTTCAGGAAAAATGGGTCTGTTTGGGGATCTACCTGCTTTCTGAAAGTTTCATGATGATTAAATGATACTTAGCATGAGTGACTCCATTTTGGTTTGGTCTAGTCTGCTGGGGCCTAGTGCAGGAGCTCAGTCCAAAACAGTGGTCTCCTGTAATTTTTGTCTAACATCCGGAATGTTATATGGTTGAAGCCATCCAGTATGTAGTTTTTCACATTGGCTTCTTTCAAATAAGAAAAATTACTTGAAAGAGAACATTTTAACTCATAAATTCTGGTTAGAAAAAAATGTATCTGGGAAGGTTGCCCTGTCAAACCCAATATACAGCTTCCTCAAGGAGCTGGGAGACAGGCAGGGGACTCTTGCCCCACTTGTGGTGCCATGGGTCGCCCCCGGGCTTGCAGCATGGGTGTGCTGTGGCCAAGCCGCCCTCACACCTTCCTCCTCCTGATATTTTTAACTGTCCTGGACTAAGGCCACAGTGTAGAGTTATAAATAGGGCTGGGTGGAGCGACACGGCCATGCTAATAATTCGGTGCCTCTTCAAACTCGTGTCCTTAAGTATTTGTTCCATGTTTATTCCTTGGACAGGCTGGGTCCTGTGCGAGGAAAGAGCAGAAAAGGGAGCAAGTTGGCTGGGCCTGGCACACACCGCTTAGCCGAACAAAACCTCTGCATTCACCAGACCTTCACAGTCAGTTTGGTGATTACCTGTTGTTTTAAAATCTCATCAGGGGCCGGGCGCGGTGGCTCACGCCTGTAATCCTAACTCTCTGGGAGGCCAAGGCGGGTGGATCGCTCATGTTCAGGAGTTCGAGACCAGCCTGAGCAAGAGCGAGACCCTGTCTCTACTAAAAAAATAGAAAGAAATGATCTGGACAACTAAATATATATATAGAAAAAATTAGCCGGGCATGGTGGCGCATGCCTGTAGTCCCAGCTACTTGGGAGGCTGAGGCAGGAGGATCGCTTGAGCCCAGGAGTTGGAGGTTGCTGTGAGCTAGGCTGACGCCACGGCACTCTAGCCTGGACAACAGAGCAAGACTCTGTCTCAAAAAAAAAAATAAATAAATAAAATCTCATCAGGCACTCTCTTCTCTAGTTGTTCAGCAAAATCTTTCTTCGAGTCAGGAGCAGTTTCTGGCAGATGCTTATCTTGATCTCGATACCCACTGAGTGATGTCGTCGTGCCTGTGACAGATTGAGGCCCCGGCCGGCTGCCCAGCTGGCCCGTGCCAGCCTAACTCGGTCATCCAGCTCCTACCTCGGTGTGATTTAGACGAAGTTGGCTTTTCCTTCTCACCTGGAGTTGCAGTCCCGCAGGAAGCAGCGCTTGGCCCTGTCGCTGACAGAGGAGGGGAAGCCGCTCTGTGCCCGCACGCTTTCCCTCTATGTGTCCTTCACAGACAGACGGACAGAAAAGCTTCGCTTACCGCTTTCTGTGCTGCCTCCTGTCTGGGAGTCCTCCTTGGGAGAGAAAGGCTGGAAAATGGGTAGGAGAAGAAATACCTAAGGATTATGAAAGGGAGGAATTGGGGCTGGACACGCAGACTCAACATCTATGAGCACCTTGGCAGGCCAGTCTTCTGGGGCAGGGGTTGGCAAATGTTTTCAGTAAAGGGCAAGATATTAAATATTTTTGACTTTGTGGGACATATGGTCTCTGTGATGTCTACTCAACTCTGCCTCTGTAGCATAAAAGTGGCTTTATATAACACGTAAAGGAATGGGCATAGCTGCGCCCCAGTAAAACTTTATTTATGGACACGCGTCCATTCTTTCTTAGCTTACTGGTCTGAAGCTTGTGCTGCCTGTGTATTCTCTGTAGAGATCCTTTTTGTGCTTACTCAGTAAAGCTAAGTGAAAACTAGAAAATGCTAAGCGGACCCAAGGAGAGGGGAGTTGTGCCGACCATTGGGCGGTGGAAAGGAGCATTCCCCCTGGAGGCCGGCTGGGGGTGGCGGCGCGGGCAGCGGAGTGGGAGCTGCAGGACCATGAGGCTGCTGGCTGCGCACCGCGGGCTCATCTTCTCATTCTCTGCCAATACGTCGGAGCTTCTCTGTTTGCTTTCAGCAAGGGAAGCCAATCTTAATCTCCACACAAGTTCTTTGATAATGGAACTGTATTATTTATACCTTGGGACACTTTCATTTTAGGTAATTTGTTGGAATTTTTTCCCTACATTTTTCAGTGCTAATGATCTGAATTTTTTGTGCTACTAGGCCGAGAGTTCATATTAATGTTGCTAATAATTTATTTCATGTTTATTGTATTGATTTATTTTTGCATATTAAACTATCATAATCATTTTTATCTTGTATCAATAGGATCCTTACTATAGATTTAATGACGTTAACTATAGATGGATCTCCTTGGATAACTGGACCTATAGCAAGAAATTTAAACTCCCCTTTGACTTTAGGTACGTATGTATGCACATATATATATTTATTATTATTCGAACTTTTCTTCTATCTAGGTAATAACGTTTTGTTTTGCTTGTGTAGCTTGTACATCAGAGAGCTAAGTAAGATGTAAGCCTCGTTCTATAAAAGTGAATATGGGATTTATGTTTTGTTTTGTATATGAGGATGGTGCCACTGATCATCGGTCGTGAAATTGTGTCTATTGAATCATTTTTCCAATGGTTACAATGGAGTCACGTAGACCTAATCAATTCTCTTATGCATATTTTCTCCTTCGCCCAGTAATCAATAGAGTGTATATATTAATAATATTTTTAAGTAGGATCAGAGATATATCATTTGCTCTGTGTGGTTCTAACCAACTACTGAGACCATGAACTTGGCCTTACACTACATTGTGAGGCCATGAGGTAAAGCACAGGTATTGTTTTCAGTATGTTTTATGTTATTGTAAGCAAATATGAGGTAGAAGGTAACCCAAATACATATATCACCACTATTGCTAAATGAAATAGCTATTTCTTATTATATGAATAAGAAATAGCTATTTCTTATTCATATGCTTATTCACTATTGCTTATTATATGAATTTTTTGATAATTATTTAATAGTCTCAAAAAAAAATAAAGCCAGAATATTGTGCTCAATATCATGGAGTTACTGCTGTGCTCCAGGCTTTTATTTCCAGGTAATATTAATACTTAAAATATCTTCTGTAATGGTCCTATTTCACCTTGAACTCAGCATGCCCAAAACTTAACCGATTGACTTTCCCTCTTAAAACTAACTTTATACTCTAACAGCCCCATTGTTTGTCTTAATGTTACAGTATTTTCCAGTATCTTCATCTCCCTGTATTCAGTCTGTTTCTAAGATATGTTAATTTTTTGCCTAACATTTCTCTTGGTTCAGCCCCTTCCTTCTCATTTCCAACTTTCCACCTTTTTGGTGAGTGCCTGAATAAGGCCAAAGCTGCCTAATTAAATTTCTGGCTTTGTTCTTTTATTCTCCAGTCTTTTCTATGTAGAAGCTTTAGATTCATCTTTCCAAAATATTGATTTTGCCATGACATGTTTTTGCTCAAGAATAGCAAGTGTCTTTCTTCTGCTGGCAAATCAAGTCTAAACTTCTCTGCTTGTCTGTGAAAATGCTACTGAATGTTCCCTGTCCCTGTAGCACTGCCTGTGTCCCTCTACCCTGCAGAGTCGTCCCACTTTCTACGCACCCAGCTCCCCTGCTCCATTATGCATGTGAATCGGGTCTTTTACCTTAGAGAAATTGATGCTGTTAGCACCCCCTTGCATTGGTTTTGTCCCTTCTTGGTGGCGATAGGGGGTGGTCTACCCTCTACCCAGGCCTTTCTACCCATCTTTTTTTTTTTTTAATAACAACCCTATTGAGAAATAATTCACATACCATATGATTCACTCATTTAAAGTGTACAAGTCAGTGGTTTTTGGTGTCTTTACAGAGTTGCAAAACCGTCACCATAATCAAGTTTAGAACATTTTCCTCACTCCCCCGGAAGAAAGCCATGGCCATTAGCAATCATTCTCCATTCCCAGCTCTTCCTCCATTCCAGCCACAGGCAACCACTCACTCACTTTCTGACTGTCTGGATTTGCCTGTTCTTGATACCTCATAGAAACTGGGTCATGCAATACGTGGTCCTTTGTGACCAGCTTCTTTCACTTAGCATAATCACATTTTCAAAGTTCATCCATGTTGTAGCATGTATCAGCACTTCATTCCTTTATATTGTTGAATAATATTTTTTGGTATGGATATAACACACTTTATTTATTATTTTTCTCTTCTCTAAGTTGTTCTTCTTGAAGTCTTTTCTTATGAGATGAAGTCTGACAGCACTTGTAGTTGTCCAACAAGATTGCCAACCAGCCAACGAATACCAACCAGATTGCAGATTCCTTACATTCAGAGACTGTTATAGTTTCCTGTAAGGCTTAGCAGAGCACTGAGCACATACTATTCACTCATAGATACTAATTAGTTGGGTAACATGTCCTCTTAGATAGTGTTAGTAAATGCTACAGTTTGTGAAAATGTTTTGTGTCTATTATTTATCTTGGTTCTCTTAAGAACTTTGTGAAGGAACTAGAAGAAAATTAATGTATTTGGAAATTATAAGTTTTGCTCATGGTTTTACGGTGATTATTGATAGATTATGGAGAAAAGCTGGATCACTTAAAGAACATAAACATATATTAAACCAATACTTCTGAAAATTTCAACTGCCCTTTAAGGATACATACTTTTGTGAAATATTCCTTTTGTTTTTAACTAATTAAAAAAAGACTTATCTAGGTTAATGTTTATAGATCTTGTTTTAAAATTTTTTTCTTTTTTTAGCAAATGGCAAAAAATAAATTTGATTTTTGAGGGAGTAGATACAGTTTCAAAAGTCCTGTTCAATGAAGTCACTATTGGGAAAACAGACAACATGTTCAATAGATATGTAAGTATATAATGACATCACATGAAAAAAAAATTTATGTGTGTTTATGTTAATTGTTTTTCTGAGTAGTGAAAGGTTAACGCATAATTGGCCATGCAAAAAGTACAGGCTGTATGAAACACTGGATCAATTACTTTATTTTTCAGCTGCCACATTTGTAGAATGATGGAAACACTACAAACCCCCTGGGGTTACTGTGGGGATTTACTAAGCTAATTATGAAAAATGGAGGGCAAGTTCTTGGCACATAGGGAGTGTTCAATGAATGCTGATCCTTTCTCTGTTGTATGGTGATACAGAGTTTCACGGGAAATGACAATTGATAAATGATTTTAAAAGAAAATGTTCTTTTCTCCCTGGAATAATTAAATTCCGAGATTATATGCTGATCATCCTTCCCTTTCAAAGGCAGACTTTTCAAAACAAAAATAACTTAGGGCTTAGAAATACACGCCGTTCGTACCAGAGAGTCAGGTTGTCACAGAGTGTGGACATGCTTGGCAGCTCAAGGCCACATGCAAATAGCCAGAGCGGACATTCCAGGGGTAAAGATATTTGTTTTGCTCTGTTATTTCCCCAAGACTATCCTTCTATCAGGAAAAGTAGAGGGAGAAACTTAGAAATAGGGAAATACGCTTAGTTATAACTAAAAGTGGGCAGCTAAGTTATACTACCGCATTTCCGAGAGACGCTTCCTCTACAGGAAGGCTGAACCCAGATTTGAATTATTTATGCATCATTCACACATTCTGCCTTGACGTAAAATTTCACACACAAGACGACGTCCACGTGGTGTGTTTCTGCTCCTTCCCTCCAACGCAGAGCTTTGACGTCACCGACGTGGTCAGAGACGTCAACTCCGTGGAGCTGCGTTTCCAGTCGGCGGTGACGTACGCGGCGCAGCAGAGCAGGGCGCTCGGCCGCCGGCTGCCCCCGGACTGTCCCCCGCCGGCGCAGCGGGGCGAGTGCCACGCCAACCTCGTCCGCAAGGTGACGCTGCTGGGCGACGGCCCGTCTGGGAGGGGGCTGCGCGGGCGCACGGGGTGGCCTGGGGCGTTTCAAAGCTGCGCGTCTCTTCCCTGGCCCCTGAGTGGGACTGGAAATAAGCGCCGACAGATTATCTGAGTTTTGTGGCAAATCTTCATCTTTCTAAGTTTCCTTCTGAAGAGGCTTCAGAGCTTAGTAACCTCAGAAAAAGAAGAAAAGCACGTGGCTGATCATGTAACTTTACAAATTAGTTTTTAACACTTAGGTTTATCCTAATTTCACCAGATTGTAAAAATATATTAGTGATTCTTGTTCTTAGGAAGCTTTCTGAAAATATTAGTATATTTGCTGCCATAGTCTCATATTTTGCTGCTGAGTTCTCATAAAATCGAACAAAAAGATAAAATCCACAAAGATGATTATTTTTCTTTAAGTCTGATCCAGTCTAGAGGACTTGGATTTATTCTAATATGTGATTAAATTATTATTCTATGTGATATTTAGTTTTTTAATGTTTACTTCATTTTTTTTTTTTTTTGAGACAGAGTCTCACTGTGTTGCCCGGGCTAGAGTGAGTGCCGTGGCGTCAGCCTAGCTCACAGCAACCTCAAACTCCTGGGCTCAAGCGATCCTCCTGCCTCAGCCTCCCGAGTAGCTGGGACTACAGGCATGCGCCACCATGCCCGGCTAATTTTTTCTATGTATTTTTAGTTGTCCGATTAATTTCTTTCTATTTTTAGTAGAGACGGGGTCTCGCTCTTGCTCAGGCTGGTTTCGAACTCCTGAGCTCAAAGGATCCTCCCGCCTCGGCCTCCCAGAGTGCTAGGAAGACAGGTGTGAACCACCGCGCCCGGGCTGTTTATTTCATTTTTTTTAAAATTTTTAATTGTGGTAAAGTATACATAACAAAATAATTTATTATCTTAACCACTTTTAAGTATGCAGTTTAGTAGTGTTAAGTATAGTTACACTGTTGTGCAACCAATCTCTAAAATTTTTTCATCTTGCAAAACTGAAACTCAATACCCATTAAATAACAGCTCCCCATTTCTCCCTCTCCAGCCCCTGGCAACCTTTTTTCCCTATTCTTTTCTAAGAGTTCGATTTTCCTAGGTATGTCATATAAGTGGAACCATACAGCATTTGTCTTTCTGTGACTGTCTTATTTCAGTTACCATACTGTCCTTGTGTTCATCCTGTTGTAGTGTGTGTCGGGATTTCTTGCCTTTTTAAGGCTGAATAATATTGCATTCTGTGTATGTACTACATTTTGTTTATCTGTTCCTCTGGTGATGGGCATTTGGGTTGCTTCCACCTTTTGGCTGTTGTGAATCATGCTGCTGTGAACAGGGGTGTACAAATATCTCTACAAGACCCTGCTTTCAGTTCTTTTGGATACCCAGAAGTGGTATTGCTGGACCGTATGATAATGCCAGTTTTAAAATTTTCGAGGCATTGACATTTATTTTTAACAACAAATGTAATTATTGGGAGCATTGTGAAGATACTAAGCATGTTTTTCTAATACTCTTTAGTTAAAACTGTTAAATTAGCTAATAAATTCTGATTCAGTGGCTCTCTTTAGGATAAATTATGTTTCCTTAAGGTAAGTACTAGGGTTAAAATTATACCTCCTCTTGTTTGATTCGGCCTACCCAAATTTGTGTCAGTGACTCATCAACCATTTGTTCATATTACTGTAACTGAATAGTCTAAGAGTATTGCTGTCACAATATTCAGCAGTCAGGTAGTCCGTGGAATACTTGTATACTTCTACTTCTGTATGAGATTCTTTTGATTTTTTTTTTTTTGTCTTGGGTTTCAAATGACACAGTGATTTGAATGCTAGAGGTTGCACCTCCCCCCCTCCACTTCCATTTTTAACCTTTATCAAAACCAGGACTATCCTGGATCCTGATATGAAAAGTTACTTTTCAAGTTGTCACCAAAGGTAATATATATGTTACACCTATATTCATGTGGTATTTTCCCTCTACTCTCTATTCAATTTGTAGCAATTAAAACATACTCTAGATTTATATATAATAAATAGAACAAAGCCCTTTGTCACTGAAGTCAGGAAGCGGACCTAGTTTTCTGTTATCACAATGCATGGGACACTAACCTTGGGGCAGACTTCCAGAACAATTGCGAATTGCATCTTGGTGTTTCTGGCTAGATTGACAAGGTCCAGTGGGAAGAAACCTTAGTTGGAGACCAAGTCAGGAGTCTCGAATCTGAATTCTGGCATTATAAACAGGGAGTGACCTTAGGCATGCCTGTCACTTGTGTATGGAGCTAATAATCCCTGTCCTTCCTTCCTGATAGTGTTATGTGAGGATACAGTGAAATAATAATATAACTGTACTTTGAATACTGTACAGTGCTATACAACAATCCAAAAAGCAGAGGGGTGATGTTATCTATTTTGGAGGCTTATCACTGTAATTACAGTTTTCTAAATTTGCAATGAACAAAACGTCTCAGCTTAGCTTCTGTGAGGTCAGTGGAGTAGAGGTGGGAAGTAGGGTGTTAAGAGAAAAACATTACTCTCCTTCCCCAATTCTTTGATTCCTCCACTTTTTCTCCATCTCCACGTAAGTCGCCGCATCCTCTGCTTCCTTCTCTGCCCAGCGTAGATGGTGGGATCCATCACTTCAGCTACGCTCTTAGCCAGTGTTCAACAGCATCCTTCTTGTTTTCCACTTCCGTCTCTGGCTGTTCCTTCTAAATTTCTTTATCCACATCCTCCTTCTCTTGAAAGTTATGTTATTCCGGCCCCTCTCTGTTCTAGCCACTTTTCTGCTCTTATTTTATACCCTCTCCAGGATGTCTCATTTAGTTTCATTTCTTCAAATACTAATCTATTTGCCAGTGATTCCCATTATTGAATCTCAGTCCAACCCCTCATCGATTCCAGACCTTCTGCAGTGCCCAGATGCCTATTTGGCATTATCACTTGCCTGATTCACAGAGACCTAAAGCTCGGAATGTCCAACACGGCATTCGTGATTTGAACCCTGCTCCTGAAATTCCCTCTCTTGCTGAATGGAAGACTATCCACAACCGTCGCTCAAGCCAGAAGCCCAAGAGTTATTCTTGATGCCTCCCTCTCTCTTTTTCCCCTCCTCCAATCCATTACTAAGTCCTCTTGATGCTGTGAATGGAACCTTTTCAATAGCTCTCGAACCACTCCCTGCTCCATTTCTACTGCTGTGTCTTGAGTTCCGTCATTTCTTGCGTGAAATATTGCCCTGGTTGCCTAACTGGCGTCCCTACAACCTCACTGGCCTTCCTCTAATTAATTGTCCACAGAGCAGCTAGCATGGTCTCGTCAGGCAAAAATGATCACAGCCCTCCTTCTGACTCTTCAGCGGCTTCTCATTGCCTTCAGGACAATGTCCCCGGTCCTTCGCTCTGTGCGGCCCACGCTCGCCTCTGCAGTCTTCTCCCGCCTCTTCCCGTTGCTTTCTCTTCATCTCCTGGAAGGTAGCATGTTGTCCTGCACCTCTGGACCTTTGCACATGTCGCTCCAGCTGAAGGGCAAGCTTCTGCTTGCGTTCGCTCTAATCGCAGTGGATAACTGGTACTCACCCTCGGGCCTGCATATAAAAGTCACTCTTTTTCAGGGAAATTTGTCCCAATGCCCACACCTTCCACCCCCAACCTCTGGCTGTATGTTCCCTGCCTATTTTCCCTTGTAAAACTCATGCTTGTAATTATTTTTTCAATGCCTGAATTTCCCGCTCTGCTGGCGTGCATTACAAGCAGAAGGACTGTGTCTATCTTGCATATTGATACACTCCCAGCCTGAAACACAGGAGCGCTGCAGAAGTGCTTCCTGGACCAGTGCAAACTCTCATTTGGAGAGGCTGAGTAAGAGGGATTTGTAGCCTTTGATGGGGAAAATAGTCCATCTTATAGGATGCTGAATATTTTGCTCTCCTCCTTGTCCATATCTCCAGTGAAAGAATTGCGTGTGTGTCTTACAAACTCTCCAGTAAATGTCCCCAAGATGGTTTTCATCCTGAATAGGAGTATCTGATACTTAAGGGGTAAATTTAGACAGATACAGGTGCAGTTCTACAAAGCAGCTTTAGTTTTTGTTTTTCTTTGTAGTGGAAACAAATTTATCTCTATTTTAGATCAATACAGAGCTAAGGAAATTATACTTACATGAGCACAGTTTGGTGAAATCCTCAGGCTGTATTCCCCAAATGCCTCAGTTCAGAAGGATCTCAGTACTTCCTCTGGTGCTTGTTCCTTTTAAAAAGCAGAACCCATAGCCTCACACATTTTAATTAACTGGGTTTTGAAAATATTTTTTTTTCTTTTAAGAAGTGGAAGTGGACCGGGTGTGGTGGCTCATACCTGTAATCCTAGCACTCTGGGAGGCTGAGGCGGGAGGATCACTTGAGGTCAGGAGTTCAAGACCAGCCTGAGCAAGAGCGAGACCCTGGCTCTACTAAAAATAGAAAGAAATTAGCCAGACGTGATGGCACGTGCCTGTAGTCTCAGCTACTTGGGAGACTGAGGAAAGAGGACTGCTTGAGCCCAGGAGTCTGAGGAGCTATGATGATACCGCCGCACTCTAGCCCGGGCAGCAGAGCAAGACTGTGTCTCAAAACAAAACAAAATGTAAAAAAAAAAGAAGTAGAAGTTAGAAAAAAACCTGCTTGAAAGGGATTTAAGTGTATCATTTCCTATTTGTGAATTCGAACCTTTATAATGTAATGTGGACATCTAACGTCATGAAGCGGGAGACGGGTAGCCAGGGAGAATAAGATTTGATAAAAGTTCTGCCTTGGCCACCTGTGTCAGTGTCTAAAGTTTGAACTGAATGTTTTGGCCTCTGTGTTCGGAAACAAGGACTTTTGAATTCGTACTGAAGGATGTAGGGGTTGGCAAGTCTAGCCGGGTTTTTTTTTTAAAGAAACTGTTTATAAAATTTTATCTTTCAATGTTTCCTCATTCTTTATAATTATTACATTTAAATACAATATTCTTTATATATAGTTATTTTTTTATTTCAGCATATTGTGGGGGTACAAATGTTTAGGTTACGTATATTACCCTTGCCCCACCTGAGTCAGAGCTTCAACCATTATATATAGTTGTTACGTTTAAATACAATGGTTAGTTTTAGAGATATTTTGGAAAAGTTTAAAGGGTATTGTGTTGCTTCAGTGTAATATGCTTTTGAAGAATAAATGTACAACTCCTCATAATTAGGTTTTATGTTCTTAGAACATTTCTGCCAGATTTAACTATGTTGCATAGGTTGATATATTAGTTATTGCATTAGTTATTTATTGCTGTGTAACAAATTATGCCAAAACTTATCAGCTTAAAGCAACATTTATTGTGGTAGTTTCTGTAAGTCCGGATTCTGAGCTGCAGCTTAGCTGGGTGCCTCTGGCTCCAGAACGCTCAGCGAGGTGACAGTCACGCTGTCGGCCAGGCCCGCAGTCGTCTCAAGGCTTGACCCAGGCTGCATGTCTGAGATGAGCTCACCTGTGGTGACTGGCAGGCCTCAGATGGGTTTCCACTCTCTCGTGCGGGTTCTCGCCACAGTGCTCCCCGGGACGCAGCAGCAGGCTTCCCCCTTGGCCAGGAGAGGGCGCAAGAGCGTGTCACACCGGAAGGCTTGGTCTTCATAACGTAGTTTACGCAGGAACTCGCTTCTGCTATAGTCTGTGTGGGTTAGAAGTGGTTCACTCGGTCCAACCCATACTCCAGGGGAGGAAATTCCGCAAGGGCGTGAATTCCAGAAGGGAACTGTGGGCCATGTCAGAGGCTGTATGTGGGGTAGGGCATGCACATACGGTTCTGGGCTGACTTGTGGCCCTCCAAAGTCCATATGTTGAAGTCCTAACTCCAGTACCTCAGAATGTGATCATATTTGGAGACAAGGTCTTGAAAGAGGTGATTAAGTTGAAGTGAGGTGGTTAGGTAGACCATATTCCGGTATGACAGGTACCTTTGTAAGAAGACGAAATTCGAACAACCGAGAGAACAGAGAGAGACACCAGGGATGCTTGGGCACAGGGAAAAGCTATGTGAGGACAGAGTGAGGAGGTGGCCGTCAACAAACCCAGTAGAGAGTCCTCAGAAGGAACCAAACCCGCTGACACTCTGATCTTGGACTTCTGGCCTCCAGAACTGTGAGAAAATAACTTTCCATGGTTTAAACCACTCTGTTTGTGGTATTTTGTTATAGCAGCTATAGCAGACTGATTGATATATATATATCTGATATATATATATATATGATATATATATATGTAACATTTTAAAAGAAAATGTTTTTCATAATATTTAAATTTCAAGGTAATCAGAATATAATCTTCTTTTTTCCCCTTGAAATTACAGGAGCAATGTTCCTTTAGTTGGGACTGGGGGCCTGCCTTTCCTACCCAGGGAATCTGGAAAGACGTTAGAATTGAAGCCTACAATGTTTGCCATCTCAACTACTTCACCTTTTCCCCCGTATACGGTAAGCTAAGAGATGCGATTTCTTGGTTTTTTTTTTTTTTAAGTCTCCTCCTTGTCATAAAAGTTGGGTTTATAATTGCAATATATAGATATATTTTCAGAGATTTAGTTTTCTTTACATTTAATTTATGAAAGTGAAAAATAGATACAAACTGATTTGTCATGTAAAGGGACAATATAAAGCAGGTAGGGAGATAGACACCTTTTAGCATATTTTGCAAAGAAAAAAGGAAAAGAAAAGAAAAAGAAAGCAAACAGAGTAGCTCCAAGGATTCTAAGGTAAGTTTTTTCCCTTGAAACAATTGGGTTTGCCAGATTGTACTTCTTTATGCTGCCTCCGCAGTCACTTTTGGTGTCGAATTCTTGGTTTGCTGACATCGTTAGGTGGACTCTCTGTCCCTGCACATTTTCTTCATGACTGGAAGCACTCCTGTGAGGACCCTGACACGCAGGCCTTGTGAAGGGTTGAAAATAAGCTGGAGCTTCCAGATGAAGAATACTGCTTTTTTAGTTGAAAGAACTATTCACTATGAAGAAGCATTGAGATAAAACCTCAGAAATCCCACAGATGTCACTGAATCAGTTAAAAGCTGGTCAAATATTTGTTGAGTTCTTCGCTTAGCGCTGTGTGTGTTTGGTGTGGAAAGGAAACAGGGCAGGTGCACGCGTGCTTTCCCGTGTTGCACACTGTGGGGGGAGGGGAGATGGAAACAATTAGCAAACAAAACAAGGTTGTGTAATATTAATAGTCTTCCAGGATGACAGCCAGAAAATCAGAGATCAGTAAGGATCTGAGAAGTTGGGGAAATCAAGGGTGAAGGTGGAGGCAAGAGAGACCTTAAACAATGCCATACGGCGTTCAGTTCAGTTGCGCGGAGGCCTAACTAGATGAAATCAGTAAGAAAGAATGTGGTGTGTCAGTACAAGAGTTCTGTTATCTTTTTTTTTTTTTGAGACAGAATCTCACTGTGTTGCCCAGGCTAGAGTGCCGTGGCGTCAGCCTAGCTCACAGCAACCTCAAACTCCTGGGCTCAAGCGATCCTCCTGCCTCAGCCTCCCGAGTAGCTGGGACTACAGGCATGCGCCACCATGTCCGGCTAATTTTTTCTATATATTTTTAGTTGTCTTTCTAATTTTAGTAGAGACGGGGTCTCGCTCTTGCTCAGGCTGGTTTCGAACTCCTGAGCTCAAACAATCCGCCCGCCTCGGCCTCCCAGAGAGCTAGGATTACAGGCGTGAGCCACCGCGCCCAGCCAAGAGTTCTGTTATCTTTAGGGCCCTGGTGACCCTAGACTGCTATTCAATTGAGCCAAATCTGTATTTTCTGAAGGTAGAAGACAAAAGCAAGTGAGAGATGGTTGGTAACTGAGGAGGTTGTTTGGTGCTGCTGATATTTTCAAAGGTTAAAAAGATCTAATTCAAATTGCACATGTAACCCGAACTGAAGATTTTTGCTGCTAAAATCAAATAATGGTTCATTCTCCCTTCATCCGCCATCCCCACCCATATGCAATATAATCAGACCTCTTCAGTGGTCTGATTTTGCAAAAAGTTATTTAATGATTTTGAAGCTTAATCAGTGTCTTAGGTGGTTTGCAAAAAGTACTAGAAGTTCCACGTACCCTGACACCTGAAAAAAATTTCAATAGCACTGCTCTAGTTTAATTTGAAACTTCGAATATGAAACTAAACTTCTCTCCCTGAATATGAGTTTATTATGTGGAGTTCAGTTTATTAGTCACTAGTGACCGGGTAAATTTTATATGAATTAAGTCAATTTAAATGATGCTTAAAATTCAATTTAGATTCAGTGTAAACAATTCCCCACATCAACTACATTTTTGAAGGTTTTGCTTTTTTCTTGGTACGTAACATTTGTACATGTTTTGTGGGGTACCTGTGATACTGTGTTACATGCATAGAATATGTAATGGTCAAGTCAGGGTATTTAATATACCCATTACCTCGAGTATTTATTGTTTCTATGTGTTGAGAATATTTCGAGTCCTCTTGTATAGCTATTTTGAAATATGCAACATGTTAACTGTACTTACTCTACTCTGCTATTGAGAGAATGTTAGAACGTTAGAACTTACTCCTTCCAACTAACTGTCTGTTTGTACCCATTAACCAACCTCTCTTCATCCCCTTCTCCCACCCACACACCCGTCCCAATCTCTGGTATCTGTCATTATACTCCGTACCTCCGTGAGATCAATATTTTAGCTACCACATATGAGTGAGAACATGTGAAATTCGTCTTTCTGTGGCAGGCTTATTTCATTTAACACAATGACCTCCAGTTTCATCCACGTTGCTGCAAATAACATGATTTAATTATCTTTATGGCCCCAAAGTATTCTATTGTGTATATATACTGCATTTTCTTTATCCATTTGTCTGTTGATGGACACTTAGATTGATTCCATGTCGTTGCTATTGTGAATAGTGCTACAATAAATGTCCCGACCCACGGGGTAGTCAACGCGGACCCTGGAGGAGGGAGTGGGAATTGGGAGAGGCAGGAGACACAAGAAATGGAGACAAGACAGGAGTCTGATCAAGTCTCGTTTATTGGCAGTAGGGCAGAGGCTTAAGTAAGGCAGAAAGAGTAGCAGTAAAGGGGCGGTGCTTTCCGAGGCTCTGGCTTTCCAGCCAGAGGATTTCTATATAAGGAAACCCTCAGGGGCTTTCAAGGGCTACATAGTTATAATGGGTAAATAGAAACTTACAAGCTTTTCCGCAGGCTTTTGCAAATGCGTGGGCTTGGTAAGCAGCTGCCGGGCCTCATGGCTCCGGACAAATAAACATGGGGTGCAGGTGTCTTTTTCATGCACTGATGCCTCTTCCTTTGGATAAATACCCACTAGTGGGATTGCTGGATCATATGGCAGTCTTGTTTTTAGTTTTCTTGAGAAATCCACACACTGTTTTCCATCGTGGCTGTACTAATTTACATTTCCACCAACGGTGTGTAAGAGTTCCCTTTTCTCAGCATCCTAGCCAGCATTTGTTATTTTTTGTCTTTTTAATAATAGCCGTTCTAGTAGGGTAAGATGATATCTCTTTGTGGTTTTCATTTGCATTTCCCCAATGATTAGTGACGTTGACCATTTTTTCATACACCTATTGGGCATTTGTATGTCTTCTGAGAAATGTCTATGTCCTTTGTTCACTTTTTAATGAGATTATTTGTTTCTTTTCCTGTTGAGTTGTTTGAATTCCTTATATATCCTGGGTATTAGTACCTTGTTGGATGAATAGTTTATGAATATTTTCTTCCATTCAACATATCGTATCTTCGCCGTGTTATTTCTTTTGATTTTCAGAAGTTTTTTAGTTTAATATAGTTTCATTTGTCTATTTTTGTTTTTGTTGCCTGTGCTTTTGAGGTCTTAGCTGTAAAATCTTTGCCTACACCAATGTCCTGAAGTGTTTCCCCTGTGTTTTCTTTTAGCAGTTTTATAGTTTTGGGTCTTATGTTTAAGTCTTTAATCCATCTTGTGTTGATTTTTGTATATAGTTAAAGATCAGTGTCTGGTTTCATTCTTCTGCGTATGGATATCCAATTATCTCAGCATTATTTACTGAAGAGGGTATCTTTTCCACAATGTATATTCTTAATGCCTTTGTCAAAAATAACGTGGTTATAAATACATGAATTTATTTCTGGGTTTTCTGTTCTGTTCCATTGGTCTATGTGTCTGTTTTTATACCAATACCATGCTGTTTTGGTTACTATAGACTTGTAATATATTTTGAAGTTAGGTAGTGTGACACCTCTAGATTTGTTCTTTTTGCCCAGAATTGCTTTGGCTATTTGAGCTCTTTTTTGGTTCTATATGCATTTTAGGATTGTTTTTTCTATTTCTTTGAAAAACGATGGTGATATTTTTATAGGGACTGCATTGAATATGTAGATTGCTTTGCATAATACAGTCATTTTAATGATGTTAATTCTTCCAATCCATGAGTGTGGGATGTCTTTCCATTTGTTTGTCTCCTTTTCAATTTCTTTTATCATAGTTTTGTAGTTTTCATAGCAGAAGTCTTTTACCTCCTTGGTTAAATTTATTCCTAGGTATTTTATTTTTTTGTAGCTATTATAAATGGGATTGCCTCCTTGATTTCTCTCTCAGCTAGTTCATTATTGGTGTCTAGAAATGCTACTGATTTTAGCTGTCAATTTTGTATCCTGCAACTTCATTGAATTTATTTATCAGATCTAAGAGTTTTTTTTGGTGGAGTCTTTAGGTTTTTCTAGATATAAGATCATGTCGTCTACAAAGAGGGACATTTCAACTTCCTCTTTTCCAATTTGGATTTCTTTTATTTCTTTTTCTGGCCTGGTTTCTCTGGCTAGGACTTCCAGCGCTATCTATGCTGAACAGGAGTGGTGAAAGTGGGCATCCTTGTTTTGTTCCAGTTCTTAGAGAAAAGGCCTTCAGCTTTTACCCAATCACTATGAATTGGGTGTGGGTTTATCATATATGGTCTTTATTATGTTGAGCTATGTTTCTTATATACCTAATTTGTTGAAAGTTTTTACTATGAAGTGGTGTTGAATTTTATCAAATGCTTTTTCTGCACCAGTTGAGACAATTGTATGATTTTTGTCCTTTATTCTCTCATGTGATATATCACATTTATTGATTCGTGTATATTGAACTATCCTTGCATCCTTGCATAAATCCCACTTGATTGTGGTGTATTGTCTTTTTGATGTACTGTTGGATTCAGTTTGCTAGTATTTTGTTGAGGATTTTTGTATTTATGTTCATCAGGGATATTGGCCTGTAGTGTTCTTTTTTTGTTGTATCCTGATCTGGTTTTGGTATCAGGGTAATTCTTACATTGTAGAATGAGTTAGGGAGTATTCCCTCCTCTTCAATTTTTTGGAATAGTTTGAGGAGAATTGGTGTTAGTTCCTCTTTGTAAGTTTGGTAAAATTCAGCAGTGAAGCCATCTGGTCCTGGACTTTTCTTTATGGGGAGACTTTAT